ACACACACACACACACACACACACACACACACACACACACACACACACGGAGACTTGGCTGTATAGTGCAGGAAGACCACTCTCAGGAGTGACTGCTGAACTGAGAAAACAGTAACAAGGTACCAATGCCTGTCACAAGAAAGAGCCAGTGTGAAAGCCTAGATTTAGGAATGGCAGACTTGGGACATAGAGAGTGTGGCCTGATAGCTCAATAAGGACTTCAGGCCGTCAAAATGAGAAAGATTACTGTTAAAGGTGCCCAATGGAATAATGAAAGGTCACATTATTATTTGATCAAATTTATTTACACACTGCAAACACACATGGCAGACTCAGTAAGTACTGTGAAGCCACCAAGTTTTAAAATAAGGAAACAGCAACTGACTGAAGGAAAGAGAACCTGAAGAAAGAGAACCCAGTCAGTAGAAGATTTTCTGGAAAAATGCTGTGATTATTCAAAAAAAATTTGCATACACACACACACACACACACACACACACACACACACCCTCTCTTGAAGACAAAAGCAGCGTTTTATGTAGTTAGGTAGAAAAAGCCACCAGCCAAATTTTTTTTTTTTTGGCCTGTGCAGCCAAGTTGCTCTGGTTAAGTGAGAAAAACCACCTCTCCCCTCAGTGTCTACCGCAAAAAGTATCAGCAGAGCCTGCTGCTGGCTCAAGGCAATACCATGCTTACTCCATGACTGCAGAGCCAGGCAGGTGCTGCCTAGGGGGTAAGAACGCAGAGTTCAAATACAGGCAAACCGTGTTTCTGCTGCCTCTTCTTCAAAGACTTTGCTCTAGGACCATGTCACGAGGGTAGGTAGCATCTACAGCTGTGAGCATCGGGCCTAGGTATTTGTGGGGCCTTAAAACTCGTCTTTTGCCTTGTAGTTTCTACCTGTGCAGTGACACTCACCCGAGGCAGATGTTTAAGCCATGCAGTGTGTTCTGTTAGCTAAGCACACAGTTCACTGCCCCTCACCTCTACCCCGCCACAACCTGTAAAAAATGTAGTGAAGATGGCCACCCATCCCACCCTCCTCCACAAACTCCTTCTTCTGAGCCTTGAAAATCCAATTTGAGACCACTTAAAATAACTTTTCCTCTTTAGTGGCCCCTTGACTTTCTAATTAAAGTGACTAATGGGAAGGGGGTAAGAACTGACATTTCTGAATCTGTGGGGGTGGCAACTATAAGCAAAGAGTGTATGAGTCTGTTACTATAATGAGATCCCTGAGGTTAGGTACTTGATAAAGCAGAGAGGTTTATGTATTGTTCAGGGCCTTCAAGGGCAGGCATGGTGGCTCTGTTAAAGCCTGCTTGGTAGATAGTAACACCATGGCAGAGATCACTCTGCAAGACAAGAAGCCAGAGAGCAATTGGAGCCAAAGAACAACCTAAGAGCCACCCACTAGGACCTTGTCACAGCTTCATGATGAGGATCAAACTTCAAAGTCTAGAATCCGCTGAGGACAAGTCATATCCAAATTAAAAACCACAGCAACAGCAAGGAGTAACGCCCCACCAGATGTGGCGTGCTCTGCCCGAATCCCTGTCCTTCCATGCCCATAGATGGGCTGGCACCCTGGAACCAGCCTGGGCCTTTCAGAGCTAAAACATCAGCTAAAACACCCAAAGAACATTCAAAAACAGAGCACGTAGCCGGGCAGTGGTGGCGCACGCCTTTAATCCCAGCACTCGGGAGGCAGAGCCAGGCGGATCTCTGTGAGTTCGAGGCCAGCCTGGGCTACCAAGTGAGCTCCAGGAAAGGCGCAAAGCTACGCAGAGAAACCCTGTCTCGAAAATCCAAAAAAAAAAAAAAAAAAAAAAAAAAAAAAAAAAAACAGAGCACGTGCATGTGGGAAGTCTTTTATTATTTTTTCTTTTAATGAGATTCTTTTTGTAAAAAAGGCATGGGAGTGAATGGAACAGTGACATGTCATCTGAGTTACATGGATACCCATTGGTTCCCATAGCTGCAAGCTCTACCTTGATACAGCTGCTCCAGTGACACCTGGAAATGCCATGCCATTCCTTTCCTTAGCACAGTCTCAGGTTTCGGAATCAGCTCTTTGATTTGTGTTTTGGAGACAAGGACTTACTTCATTTCCACTGCTTCATACCATATCCTTGTCCCCATTCTGGGGCTGCATTTTTCACATGGATCTTGGACAAAGGGCATGCCTTCCGCCCACTGTAATTAAACTTTCTCCCATCATGGAGTCAAGCCCACATGTTTTGGGTTCAGGGGTTGCAGTAATCACATCTGGACAACTGGACTATTAGTTTTGCCCCTTATCCAACTTCTTTCCTGACTTCTTACATTCTGCTATAAAGAAAAATGAAAACACACTGGGCGGTGGTGGCGCACGCCTTTAATCCCAGCACTCGGGAGGCAGAGGCAGGTGGATCTCTGTGAGTTTGAGGCCAGCCTGGTCTACAGAGTGAGATCTAGGACAGGCACCAAAACTGCACAGAGAAACCCTGTCTCGAAAAAAACCAAAAAAAAAAAAAAAAAAAAAAAAAAAAAGGAAACAAACAGGAGTGTAGCCAAGCACTACAAGATCATTCTGGTTTGAAAAATTTAATTTTCTTGTGCTACCTAACAATGAGCGCTGGTGTGTCACCAACCTGTAACATAATTAACTTCTTGTATCTTTTGTTCCATATGAATTTACATATCCAATTATCTTTTTATTTAATTTCTCATGGTTTTGCTACATTGACTAAACTTTTTAATGAGAAAGTTCTTTAATTTAATGGGCTTTGCGGTTCATTTATAACCAGTGAGTTTTTAAAGTCGGTTTAGGATCCCCCGTGCCGCTGCAGGACACTGTAAAACTTCCGCAGCAGGGTAGAGAGCCCCGGTTAGCATCAGGCTAGGAGCTGCGTGGAGGGTCAGAGCCAGAGGTCAGCGCTCCAGGAGGAGGCAGCAGAGCGGATTCCACCAAGAAAAGGATTTTAAGTAACTCACACTGTTTTTTTGTCCAGGGGTATTGTATGTCAGTGGTAATTAACATGATATAGTTTGCCCAGGGACAGTTCTGGGTTGTTCTCGGGAGAAGTCTGCATCACATCCAGTTTTCCCACTAGGTTCATTGTGATCTGATAATGCTGTGGGCTGGCCGCAGCGGGAGGACATAAACAGGGCAGACACATGGGCTGTACAGTGTCTTCGTGCTGCAGCCTCTCTTCTGGTCACCTGGAACACAGAGTCTGTACATGAAGGTGACATCTGTCATCAGAAAGGCAAACACATCCTCACATGGACCACCTGTGTTTGCACCATCAGCAGTAACAGAAGTCTTGAAATTCGCATCAGTGGTGGTTATGAAGCTCCCTGTTATGAGGAGTCTATGGCCCTGGGACAGAGTGGTACTATTTGGTTGGCCAGTAAGAAGGAGGGACCTTTGTTTTCCCAGTGTTCTGGGAGTCATGACCACAATTTAACAAAAGCAGAAACAGTTTGTTGGAGGAATTATTGATGATCACACTTGGGTACTGAGCTGGGATTGTGGGCAGGAGGTGGGTATTGACTGTAAACTGTAAGAAACAGTGGGAATCCAGGGCAGAGTTGAAAGCTGCACCATGAGGAGAGTTTACCCAAACATCATGTGGAAAGTCTCACACCATAATTAGAAAATATTGACAGCCTTCTTTTCTGGCTTTTTAAAGGGAAGACAGCCCTCTTTTGAATATAATTGAAGCTAGGACCCAGCATTTTGATTTATATAAAAGGACATCCATTCACAAACTTGCCTGTCTACTCAGACATTGCTATGAGGGGCTGTGGACATTCGTGGGCATGAAACCTGGGTGGATTACATGGGGAATCACTCCTTCATCAGCTCCTTCAGGTCCTCGTCAATTCCTCTCTTGCTCAGCTCTTCTAAGCTGTAGTAACGGTGAACAACTTTCTCAGCAGTGATGACCACCACACGGAGCCCGTGGGTGTCTCTGCCCAGCTGGCACCCGATTGCAGATGAAACCACCATGTCAAGATCCTGGTAGGTTCCCCCCGCATTCCTGTGGTAGTGGCCCGAGAACACAGCTCTGATACCTGCAGGGAAGGCAAAGACATGAGAGGCCTTAGGACTTCCATGTAGGTAACCTGTGGGAGCCAAATTTTGATTCTGCGAATGATATTAACATTAATGCTAACTATTTGAGAATGCATTAAATGAACTTTTCATAGTAGCTCATTAACGTAGTTCACGAAGTTCCTTAAAGTGTAACAGTCACAGGGCTGGGATGTAGCTCTGTCCTAGAGTGTGTAAGTCAATTCACTAGCACGTGGGAGGCCCAGGCGTAACTCTCACTGTATGCATGTACATGAGCACATGTATCTAGAGTTCTCCAGCATACCTCTGAGCTTGAGAATCTCAACCTGAGGCTCTAGAAGGGACAATTCCCAGATTTTATAGGGGATCTCTAAATGACAATGAAGAAATCAGGTGCGGATGAGGGTGTGTGTGTGTGTGTCTGGGCCCATGAGGCCAGGACAAAAACAGAAAGTCCTGATTGCTCACACTGAACCAGAAGAAAGAAACATCTTCCAGCGCTTTAAGAAACTTCTTGCTAAATAAGGCAGTCCAGACACCTCAGTCAGGCAGGAGTTCACTCCAGGGTGATTAATTATAAGAAAGGCTTACAAGTACCAAAATAAACACCTTTTGTATGTCAGAGTTCTTAAGAAAGACTAGCAGCTATAAAAACAAGATCCTTTGACAGAAAACAGACAAAAATTGAATAATGGGAAGCAAAGAAAACCCAGAAACAGGGTATTAAGACACACACTAAAACCCCCGATAAAACAAATGGAGTAAATTCTATTCGCTAACAGTCAAAGAAGAAATGAGCCAACAGAAGAAGAGAATCAAGGAAGTGAATCGGAAGACACACCAGATACAAAGCAGTAGACATGGAGCCCTGAACTAAAGAGGTGTTTGGGAGACTGGGAACAGAAACTAGAAACAGAGAAAGGAGGAAATAATGCAGAAAAGAAGAGATTATTAGCTTAAAAATTTCCAGAAAGGATGAAGACATGGGTCCTCAGAGAAAACTGTGGAGCAGGGAACAACTTCCACACCGATGTACAGTGTAGTAAAACTGTGGTACGTCGAAGCGGAGGAATTAGGATGCCCTTAGAAGGACAGCAAGGCGGCACCAGGAGGACACAACAGTCAGGCCAAATATTGAGAGCAGAAGCCAGGAGCCTCAAGTCCTACACCTAAGCTCACCCGACACTTGAGGGCAAAATAAAAGACATGTCTAGAATGTGGGGGGAAATCAGATCTCACCATTTCCAAAATATCTGCTTATGAATTATCAAGAGAAATAATTCAGCAAGGGATGGGATGAAAAACAAAAAAGAGAAACACTGCTGGGTGAATCCTGAGAAGCTACTTTGGTAACTACTGCTGGTTTGTTGATTAAAACCATGTATAGTTTTTACCGTTAAAAGTGAGAGCAAGCAGTGGCACAGGCAGTCGATGTCTGTGTAGAACAGTCAGAAAGCAGCGAGCATCCACGTCTTCCAGACAGGAGGACACTCTGCAGGGCTGCTGTCAGCCACCGTAATTCTCAAAAATGTTAGACACAGAGCTAACAACCCAGAGCCTCCACTCGAGACAAAGACCCAAGAGAAATGAAACACACATCGACGCTGATGGCCTCGCATGCAGGAATGAACTAAATGTCTGTCCAGAACAGTGTTCAGCCATAAAAAGGAACAAAGTATGAGTACCGACTACAATGTTAGTGAGCCTTGAAAACATTAAGCTAGGTGAGAGAAAAGGCCATAAAAACGTAAGACTCCGCACATATGAAACGTTCCGAGTAAACAGAGTTAGAGCCCAACAGTAGATTACTGACAGAGGCTGAGAGGTGTAGGGGCTGATGCTATGAATACAGGGATTCTCTGTGAAATGGGAAATACAAATGGCCAGCTCCTAGACAATGGTGATGGTGCACAACCTTTTGAAAATATTTAAACCACTGAATTTTACTTTGAAAGGGAGAATTTTATAATGTGGATTACATTTTTAAAAAAGCAATTTATGGGAAGAACAGGAAGCTAGAATATTTTACTTCAGGTGTTTCCAGAGAAGGATTGAAGCTGTGCCTGCGTGCGTGCGTGCGTATGGATATGGTACAATGCTGACTGAAGCTGACGGTGATGCTCACTTACAGGTGATGGCTATATTGTACACAGATGCCCCTCTCACCCATGAGCAAGACAGCATAACCCCCAGTGGATACCTGAAACTGGCTGTGCCGACCCCAGGTATGCTTCCCTGTGTACACAGATGCCATGAATACCATGCTTCCC